TGATAAGGATTTTCCTTTGATTTAAACAGTCCTGTTTTGGTAAAATCAATCTCTTTCAAGGAAATGCTTAGTGTTTAAGGGTTTCTTCACCAGCTCATCCCCACCCAGGACTGTTCCTCCATCCCCTCTTCCAGTTATGATGACGTCTTCAAGGGGGATGGAATTTATAAGACCACATGGAGATGGAGTAGGGTCTAGGCCTCAGATCCATAGGCCCCTACTGTGGAACTTGAGGCCTAATTTTAGCACAGCTAAAGCTGGATGGGGTGACCAATCTCCACCACATTCTGGTTTTCCTGGGGCCTTCTCAGCTTTAAAACTGAAAGATCCGTGTTCTGGGGCCCAGCTCAGTCCCAGAAAAACCTGATTCGATGTTCCTCCCTCTGCTGACTCTGATATTTTTATGGCGACAAAATATCCAGAACCATTCTTTCTGGGTCCAGCTAATCCCAAGTCTGGGCTGTCTGCCCTGAAGTCTCTGTTTCCAGGTCACCTACCCCTCCTCCATGGCAACCATTTTCTCTTTATCTCTCTACTCATCTGATTTTCTGTAAACTCCTACGTGGAGCACCTGGCAACTTCTAAATCCATCTCATATGGCAGAGAAGCCGAAGGAAAACAGAGGTGAGGTTGCTGTTTCAAGCCCTGAGCATTTCCAAGGGAGGTGGAAATGTTCCAACTCTGTGAAGAGGGTGAGGAACACACTCTTCTAACAATGCTCCCATTGGGTTTAGCTCCAGGAAGGGTGGGGAAGTTCCAGGTGTCTGATCAGCTCACCTCCTTTCTTTCTTTCTTTCTCGTCCCCCTCCTCCCTCCCTCTAACTCTCTCTGTCTGTGAAAACATCAAGTGAACCCTGTACTGGTGATATATCCTGAGGACATACCCTGTGACTTATGGTAAAACTCTGTGGTTCACATCCTTTAGAGCGGCTCCTGATATGAACATTTTGAGAATTTGGAAAAGAACTTTTCTGTCCACATTAGTCCTGATTTTCAAGAATATCACTTATTTATGGTTACAGGAAAGTCAGCTTTGAACTTCTATTCTAGGTATTATCTGTTCTTGCCTTTCCTTAGATGATAAACCATATGGTGTAGATTAAATGGTAGAAGTCAGATTTAGATTGGGACAAAAATTATTTAATGTTTATAAATATTATGCCTCTTTACAAATATATTTTTCTACTCCTCTTTTCCTCTCCTTGGAAAGTTTACTGGAGACTCCTGTTGTTGGTGTTCTAATTTAGGGAAAAAAACCCAAAAAGACAAATGAATCAATTCTTGAATTACCTGTCTGGTAGGGAACACCTTTTGAGAATGGGAGGCTTTTACAATAGTGTTTTTCAAATCACAAAACATGTAAAAAATACACACTTTACTAGCATATAACCGTATCTCCTTTGGAATGTTTTTCTGTGGTCAAGCCCAGAGTCTGGGTATCATCAGAGATAATGTAAGAGATCCAGATAGGCTATTGTAAAGAGAAGGAAAGTGTATTTTAGTAATATCTTGCCTCTAAAGTCTTTTTGCCCCATGGTAAATGGGTCCACCTCTCATCATAACTCAGTAATAATTAATATTTACATAAAAAAGAACTCTAAGGTACTTTACATGCATACTAACTTATCTAATAGCCCTCCCACTGTTTCAGATCAACGTACTGAAGCACAGGAAAGCAACGTACCCACATTACTTAGGAGATGACAGATCTGTGCTTTGAAAATCTATGGCATAGTGGATCGAATGGTGGCTCACAAAAAAATTATGTCCACACCCTGACACCCAGAACCTGTGACTACGACCTGATTTGCAGAGTCTTTGCAAATATAGTTAAGTCAAAGATCTTGAGGTAAGATCATTTAGACTATCTGGATGAGCCCGAAATACAATGACAAGTGTCCTGGTAAGAGATTCACGGGGAAAGACAGAGGAGTCAAGGTGACTGTGGAGGCAGAGGTTGATGGGATGCAACCACAAATCTAGGAATGCCTGCAGTCACCAGATGCTTGAAGAAACAAGGAAGGGATCTCTCCTAGAGCCTTCAGACTGAGAAAAGCTATAAATACTCTCCTCTTACAGGACATGTTCAGCTGACTTAGTAGAGGACAAAGACAGCTAGAGAGGCAGTTTATTTTTTCCTGGTTTCAAGTATGGATTAAATCCATCAATTTAATATCTAAATGTCTCTGTAGTCATCATATGAACCTACTCTAAGTAGGAATAATGAACGTAGTCGTCTTCAGGGGGGTGCTTTGGTGAAATGCAGATATGCCAGCTGAATGGAAACTACCATGAAAAGGTTACAGGACAAGCTGTTAAATGGATACGCAGGAAATAACCTGCCTGTGGTTTTTCCTTCCCTTCCCTTCCCATCATTTCTCCTCTTTCACTCTCTGCTTTTCTGTTTTTTGGTTTTTTTTTTTTTTCTTTTTCTCTTGTGTTTTGACCGGGCCTCAGAAACAGAGAATTGAGTTAATGATAATCCTCAGTTCATCACACATCATCATCATAAGCCTGTGCAATTCACTTTCTTGCTTTCTTTTCTCTTTTTTTCCTTTTCTTTTCTTCCCTGCGTTTATTCCCACATGCCAGTACAAATTTCTTCCTTCCATATCCACTTGCTTTAATGCACTTAATCTCCGTCCTTGGATATGCTTGTATCCTTGAAAAATGTCCGTTGTTGTTTTATGAATGCATCTGTTTTTAATTTACAAAAATTGTATCCTGCTACAGATACGTTTGTAGTTATTTTTAACTCAATATTGTGACTGTGTGAGCTCTAACGTGTATGTAAATCATCGCTTTTGACCGCTGTGCATAGCCCACAGGCTATTTCTACCATACTTCCTCCTGTCTCCTAGAGATGAACACCTAGGTTTCCTATAATTTCCCAGTCCCCACGCAAAACTGCGACAAGCCTCCAGGATCAACCCATGGAAGATGTCCCCAGGAGAGGGCTGCTAGGTCAGGGGTGCGCATTCTTGACATCATTAAGTGCTGCCAGATGGTTCTCCAGATCTGTCGGCTTATATTTCTTAAGTATTTTGGCAAGATTTACATTAAGTTGAAATTCTCATTTTGTGCCAACACTTAGGGCAGGTTGAATTTTATAACTGTGTGAAAAGTCAAAAAGAAATCTAATGTTTAAGGTACTTTTATAGGCAACTCTCCTTTAGATTATTTAACTGAAAAAAAGGACTTCTGGGAAAAGATGCATGAAATATGTAGATTTATCCATATTTATTGATGTAGGTCAGGTTTTAGGAAAAACATTTTGGATGGAATTATATTTCACATTATTTGAACAAGGGATTATATATTGTATAATACGATTTTATAGAATAACCAAATATTTTATAATCATTGTGCATATTTTGCACTTACAATACAGGAGAAAAGAATTATGGGGTGAGAGGAGGGCCGTGTCCCAGGTCTCTGTTGAGCCCCTGGGACGTGCCTCGCCAAGTGTGGGTCCTTGGCTTCGTGTAGGAAAGAATTCAAAAGCGAGCCACAATTGAGTAAAGGCAGATTTATTTAGAGAGATACATACTACATAGAGAAAGAAAGGCCACGAGGTGTGTGGCTTGGGTGCTGGTAATGGCACCGAAACAGACATAGATTAAAAGAAGAATAGACACCTATGGTCAATTCAACTACAGCAAGAAGGGAAGAATATATAATGGAGGAAAGATGGTCTCTTAACAAGTGGTTCTGGGAAAACTGGACAACTACATGTAAACCAGTGAGATTAGAACATTTCCTCACACCATATACAAAAATAAATTCAAAATGATTAAAGACCTAAATGTAAGACTAGAAACCATAAAACCTGTAAAAAAAGAACATAGGCAGACACTCTTTGACGTAAATCGTAGGAGTTTTTTTGATCTGTCTCCTAAGGCTAAAGAAATAACACAATGATGACTGATAGTCTATTTCTTAAGCTCCTTTTACAAAGAAAAACTTACGTTCTTTTCCTTCAACTTTCAAAGACATGATCATAAACAGAATTTAGCAATGTCACACAGGCTGATAAAAATGAGTATTCTTAACATATACAGGACTCATATCAATGATTAGAAGACACATATTATGATAGAAAAATGTGAAGAGTAAATTCCATGGAGAAATAACCATGGCCAATAAACATTAAAAATATTTAATTCCACAGGGGAAAAAGAAGGAAATTAAAATGACATGATGAAATTTTTTTGGAAGGAGGGCATTCCATGTTGTGAGACAGGTATACCCTGCTCATTATGTATAATTTCATAAAATATTTCTGGAATGCAAAATGAGGGAAAATACATAATACTAACTATGCTTCAAGGTTCTACATTTTGTTTATTAACCCACTCAATCTCACAACAACCCAATGAGGTAGATGTAATTATTATTCTCATTTTACAGATAAGAAACTAAGCCAGGAAAAGGTGAACTAAATTGGTCAATTATTACACAGCCAGTTGTTGGCAACTCTGAGATTCGCTTCATATTAATAAAGAATAGAATACCCTGAATTTAGGAGCTTAGAATTTAAACTTGCTTCGCATCTCATACTGCAGTATATGATAATTTTGTACTATAATTATAAATGGTCATTAAATCATTCAAAGCATACTATAGACATCTGGGAGGCAGGAGAATAAAGATGTTAATTATGTCATTTTACACCTGAAATTGTACTGAGATTAAATAATTCAGCCCCAAACCCCTGGTGTGATAGAACAAACAGTGGTATCTCTTTGCTTCTTAGACCCTGTTCTAGTCAACAGAGTTTTCATGTGGAATTTCTAATTCCTCTTATTTAAAAAAAAGTATGTTATTATCATGAAATATATTGTTAATAAATAATATTAGCTATTTATGGATTACCTTTGAGTTGTGCAAAATCGGCAAACAAGTGGTTTCAGAACCCAACGGAGAGTTGCAGGAGTCCTCTTTTTCCGTGGAAGATATGCTCCAAGACCTCCAGTGGCTGCCTGAAATCATGGATAATATCAGATCTTATACACAGTATGTTTTTCCTATAAATAGATATCTGTTATAAAATTTAATTTATAAATTTTCACAGTAAGAGATTAACAATGACTCAAAATAGAACAATTATGGCAATATACTGAATTACAAGGTATGCGAATATAGACTCCTCTCTCAAACTACCTTATGGTACTCAACCTTGTTTTTGCGATGATGTGAGCTGAAAAATGCCTCCATGATGGGATGAAGTGAGGTGGATGACGTGGGCATTGTGACGTAGTCTTAGGCGACTACTGACCTTCCGACGATAGGTCAGATGGAGGACCATCTGCTTTGGGGGCATCCCGGATCATCAAGCCATGATGACGTCCAGAGTTGGGAACCCTGAGTGAGCTGGAGTGGGATGGCACTGCTCAGAATGCTGTGCAATCTAAAATCGATGAATTGTTTATTTCTGGAATTTTCCATATAATATTTTCAGAAAGCAGTTGACCATGGGTACCTGAAACCAGGCAAAGCAAAACTTCAGATGAAGGGGAACTCCTGTATTGAGGGTAAATGTGATTTGAGACATTTTTTTCTAGTGTTGTCTTTAAACCCTGCTTACAATATTCATTTAAGGCTCTGGTTCCCACACAATTACAAGTAGTAAAAACCAAAAAATGACATTCAACAAAAAGAGTATGTTGGCTTCTGCTAAGCAACAATTTAGCTTATTTAATGAGCTTAACTTATCTCAAAATTTTGTTACTTTCAGAGAAACAACTAGAAGATATTGAGTCACAGAAAATTTTCATTAAAGAAATAAACACAAAATAAGGGCTCAACCAAAGTATATAGTGATTAATTAATTAAGCCAGGATTTAAGGAACTGAGACAATTGGTTTGCTATATAGAAAGCTCCCAGCTATTAGAGACCAGTCATGAGGGACAAAGTGACCTAAAAATATCACCACATTGGTATTACACAGAACAATTAATGGCATAAATAGTTCCAGTCACACCAATTGCTCAAAGACCTCTAATAAATACGCCTTTAGAATTTCCCTCCTTAAAGAAGGGAAAACAAAAAGTGATAACCCTTTAATCAATGGGATTCAAAAAGACAATTAGAGCTTCCATTCACGATAAAGTATGATATGCACATTTTGTCCTAAGATAACTCAACAGTAGACGTGAGAGGAAAAAAGCCATTATAGTGTAGTGTTTAAGAGTGAAAAGTGTACACCGAGGCAGATCGTGGTTAATCCCAGGTTCTGCCACTTTCTATTTGTGCAAACTTGGGCAAATTGTGTGAATAATAATAGTATCTACCCAAAACGGTGACTGGGAGAATTGAATGAAGTTATGCATGTAAAGAGTGCCTGTCACACAGTAGAGTTACCACATCTTAGCTCTTATAGTTGTTTTTGGTATCTTTCCTCTTTGTCAGTGACTGTGACCCACAGAGTCGTAGCAAAAAATCAGGGTTCACTACAGGATGTAATATATTTTCCTCTACAAAACTTCTCTCACAATAGACCTCTCTTAAATAGGATAATAAAGTCGCCCTAAGTAATGTCTCAGAGACTTTAGGAAATCAGAACATAAGTGAACTGAAAGTTACCAAAACCTTTAATTTAATATCTCGCTTGAACTTGGTTGTCTTCAAATTCTCCATTTCATTCCCACAGAGACTGCACAGCTACTGTAAACCATTTACTGTATCTGGTGTACATAATAGTTTTGTTCATATTGTACCGAGTCCAAACTCTTTCCGCTCGCTGCACGGCAGGCCAATAAATCGGGAAACAAGGTGGTGGGGCCAGGAATAACGACTTTATTCGGAAAGCCAGCAGACAGAGAGGATGGCAGACTAATATCTTGAAGAACCATCCTACTCAAGTCAGAATTCAGGCTCCTTTTATACTAAAAGGGGAAAGGGTGTGGTTGGTTGGTGCAAACTTCTTGGTGCAGGAATTCTTTGTTCTTGCAGCTGTCCCCGTGGGTCAGGTCATGGTGCCCCTGTAAATACTCTTAACAAAACAAAT